ACACACACACACACACACACACACACACTACCAACAAAGGCACATACATATCCAAACCAGCCTAGGCACATGCATACCTATCACCAATTCAAGCACATACAGTATACACCCCAAAAGTTAGACAGAAATCAATTGTCCATACCCGCACACTCAGATCACTAGTTCGTATATCATGCACACAGTGATATGACACAGTTCACACACATATAGCCCACCTACACATACACACAGGTGAGTTCCTAACTTGGATGGTACAGTGTGTATGTGTGTGCTTGGGGTACCTGGGATACTTGGGGGAAGGTTAAGGTGAGAGAGAGAGTTAAAGTGTAGGGAGTGAAAGTTGCTAGAACCAGGATTAGAACCGGTGGACTAGAGAGAAGCTGGCTGAGGAACGGAGGCTTGGGTTTACTTAAAATTAAGTGGCGCCAGGGTTACTCGAGGTCACTGGTGCAAGGGAAAGAAAAAAAAAAGCCTGATGGCAAGGAGGAGACAGCCAGGAAAGAAACCGAGGCAGAAACCCGGTTGCTCAGGGGAAAAGGAAAAGGCAGTGGGGGTAAGACAGTGGCAAAGAAACAGGGGGTTTGGAGACAGAGAGGAGCTCAGGACAGGTGTTGGAGGTGGCAGTGAGCCAGAAGCAGGAGAGGCAGAAATGAGACAAAAGTTAGAGAGGCGAGGAGCAGAGATTGGAGTAGGGCCAAACCATAGTAAAGCAAAACCCAACTTAGGGGTCCAAATAACAGTTTTATTAAACAGACAACACCTTACACAGCCTCATGAAGTTATTGGTTCACATACACACACACGCAGACACACACACACACAAGCACTCACAATGGCATCAGGAGAAAGACTCAGTGGACGGGCTGGAGTCCAGGTAGGGAAGAGAAGCAGAGTCCAAGTCCTTGGTTGAAGATGGGGTGGGAGGTGATAGCTACCTATCCAGGCTGGAAAGGGGTTTTTGTCCAGTAGGTGTTATCCAGAGGGGGGTCACCAGCAGGGCCTCTGGGTGGATAGGTGGTGTGGCATGGTGCTGGTCCAGATGGAGAGAGTGTCCCAAGGAGTCAGTCTTCACTACCCCTTTTATGGGGCAGACTACCTCTGATCTCCTATGGGGCGGGCCTGTCCAGCTAAGGTCAGTCCTGGTCCAGAGGGGTCCAGGTGTTCTTACTGAGCATGTGCAGCCTGGCACAATGGTGGGTTGCCTCATCTTTTGTTTCTTGAATGCTGAGAGTGGTTCCAAGGGCTGGGTTGTTGGTCCAGGTATTGGTGTTGATGGTTCGGTCATTCAGAGGGAGCTATTTTTAGACCTATTGCCATTGTCTCTCAAGCACCCTCATTCATTCCCATTCATTCAGGAACCAAGTTACATAGGTGGGGTAGATGTGAGTTATGGGTTACACAACCGGGCCTGGGGACAGAATGGAGACTTGACAAACAAAATGGAAACCTGACATGTCTTATGCTAACTTACATATGTAGGCCTAAATCATATTGTATCAGTAAAACAGTAATATAGAACAGTAAAAATCAATATAAACATAATAATTATACAATATAAAACAAAACAAATACAACTTGCTACCAAAATAAAATCCTGAAGCTTATCCTATGTCTTAGCTCACTTATACTTATCTATAGGGAATAGAGAGGGAGGGAAAAAGTCAGAAATGGTTGGGGAAGGGGAGGGAATGCATTTTAAAATAAATGTAAAAAAGAAAAACTGGGGGTTTTGCTACAGTTCTTCAAGGAGTATTCCCCAGTGGAGAATGAGAAAAGGTGTGGAGTGGGTGAATGTCAGAGCGACTTGTCCCAAAAGTCTTTTTTTCCACCTGCTGGACTTACAGTTTCATTTTTTTGCCAGGTTCGCTTTCCTCGAAAGAAACTACGGATGTTCCTTACAGCTCCACTCTCCCAGGCTGTTCTGCTGGATAGCTTCTGGTGGTTCTTTCTCCAATTGTATCAGGTGAGGAAAAGACCAGGACAAGGGCTGGCTAATGTTGTAGCTGGCATTCCTCCTAATGTTTCACACTGTCTCACTGAATAAAGAATTGAGATTCCTTAGAAGAATATTGAAAACAATTTAGACACTTCACTACTGTAATGCAAAGTGGCACATCCTGTCTGTCTCTTCTAGGGTAATGAATACCCACACCCACTACTGCCAGTACCCTATGACACAAAGGAAGGTTTCTCCCATTGAAATGGTGTTTTTGGTTCATAAAACCCCGAAATACACCAGGAAGAATTTTCCTATCACAGCTGCTGCATAAGACAACTGGACACTGCCCATAGAAATTTCCCTGGAAGTCCAAGTATAGAGGTGTACCAAGGCAGAGCAGGAGATGAAGCTGTGCTACAGAGCAGCATGGCATTCTGGAGCAGCTCCAGATTGTGGAGCTGCCTGTGGATAGCTTCAGAGTAGCTGCCAAAACTTGGAGCACCCCTTTGGGCTCTTTGTAGCCCATGAACAAGCCTAGAATCATGAGCACAAACAGTCTGATTGCCATCTTTGCCCCTTTAGGGTGGTTAGGAGGTGCTCAGTGTTCAGCCAGCACAGGGCTGAAACCCAGCAGCAGGTAGTTAGCAGTCAAAAGTCTGCCCGGCTGCAAACCTGGGGGCCAGCTGTAATTGGTCAGTAAATGAGGGTAGGGCTACAAAGAGAGTTAAGATCTTCCATGGGAAGAGAGCAAGGGGAAAACAGAGGACATGGTAGTGGGGCTTGGAGTTGCAACACAGAGCCTGTTTCACTCCTTCCAAGGTCTGAAGAAAGACCACAAATTTGGGATTTGTTTGTTGTTTGCATGTTTGCTTGGTTTGTTGTTTTCTCTTATTGCGGGGAAATTTTTTTCCCACCTAAAACGGTCTGGAAACCTTGGACACATGGTGCTAACTGGCCATAATAAGGAATCTGGGTGAGTGACCCTCTTACAAGGCCCCTTTGCCTTCTGGGTTTTTCAGTGGAGGCATTGTACCATTACTGTTTCACATGTGCAGTGCCAAATTATTATGCTTTTAGTCACACAAGTACAAATATGGAATAACTCCATTGACTGGAGTCAGTAGAGTCAGTGCAGATTTATGCTTCTGTTACTGAGAGAGCCTGTGGTACAACGTTTACTGCTGCTTGCAATTCATTAAACTCATGGAGAAGCAAAATTAAAGAAGTTAGACTGTATCAGGAATCTTTTTTTTGCTCACTAGCACTGCTTACAGGCCCAGCGAGACACTTTGTGGGTAGTCTGTCATGTCAGCTGTGGTTGGATATGTAGGCAAATATCCATCTAGTTCAGGCTTGTCCAACATACGGCCCGTGGGCTGCCATGTGGCCTGCCAAGCTGTTCTCTGTGGCCCGCCGTGCTGCGACAGGAACCCCTTGTCCCTCCTCCAGCCCCTCAGCAGCTTCCTAACAGCTGCTGAAGGGCTGAGGAAGGGACAAAATTCCCACACGCACTGCATCAGCTTGACATTGCCAACACAGTGCGGCTCCTTCCCCCCCTCCATTTCATTGTGTCTCTTTCTTGCCCCACCCCTCCCTTCCTCATTTGCATGCCAACTCCTCCCCTCTCCCACATTGCAGGGTTTCCGTTCCTAGCCCTGCCTTCCCTTCCTCATTTGCATGCTGCCCCCGCCCTGCACCAGTCCCCACCGGCTGCGTGGGCTGGAGCAGGTTGCAGTGCAGCAGGGGGGCGCTGATGCTGGCGCAGAGGGATGCTGCGGCCGGGCCCGTGGGAGATGCTGCTGCTGTGGCTGTTGGGGCAGGAAGCCAGAGCTGCTCCCGCATTCCTCCGCACCTGCAGACATCACACTGGGTGATGAACTCCAGCAAGCACACATTCCAGTCAAAAAATGACTTGATTCATGAGGGCCTCTAAAGTGAGCAAGATGATGGAAAGTGGTGAGTCCCTGGCCCCGGGGAGGGACCCCCGCCGCTTGGGCTCAGGTTCAGGCTGCCCCATGGGAGAGGGAGCAGTGGGGTGGGAGCAGGGGGTGTCCCTGCACATCCCACACCCCCCTATAGAGTCCCCACATGTACCCCCTGGCTGCTGAGCCCAGGCACGCAGGTGTGGGAGCATCCTTGAGGCTGCCCAGGTGGCAGGGAGGACAGAGCGGGGTCAGGCGGCACCCCTTGACCCCTGTGCCCCCAGGCTGCAGCTAGACTGGACAGGTCGCGCCAGCGCCCACTCCTGCTGGCCCACTGGTTGATAAAAAGTTCATGATCTGGCCCCACATTCAAAAAGGTTGGACACCCCTGCTCTAGTTATTCATTCATTTTTCTCCTCCTCTCTCTCTCTCTCTCTCTCTCTCTCTCTCTCTTCCTTTTTTTTGTAGCCAAACCAAGAGATTCAGGCACGCCTATTTGATCGCATTGCAAAGAACTATGCCTCTCTCCTACTTGACTGTCACAAATTCCACCACCAGGAGGCCCTCATTAAAGTAAGTATAATGAAGTTTAGAGATAGGATGGCCATTGAGGACAATGTGAAATCTGGGACACTGCCCCCATCCTGCCCCTCACCCTTGCAGGCAGAGATGGGGGTGAGGCACCACTGGTATTACTATTCAGGTAACTATGAGTCAGTGGCCCATTAATGGCCCATTGTTCTTTACTTCATTGGTGTTAACACTCCCACTTTTAATGGCCATTCCACTAATTAAGCTAACCTATTAGGACAATTTTGCTGTCTGCTAGGGCTTTCTATTTCACAGCTAATGCCCTGGACACTTATTTCACAGGCAGGCTGGGACTGGCCTTCGAAATCTTGGACCATCCTGGCCAATCCAGTTAATTCTTCCAGGGCTCAAAATGTCCAATTGGACTTGAACTTTTTTCTTGTCTGGAATGCCCCATGATGACGAATGTGATTCATGCTTGCTGCTGTTCTGCGACTGACTTTTAATAAAATAAAATAAAATAAGCCCCTCTTTGTCTTCCAGACTGTCAGTTATCCTCTGCTCCCATCTTTTGCCTCATTTGAGGCTTGCTTCCTCCAACTTACTTTTGCCCTCCCTACTCAACTTACTTAGGCATCACCTCTGGCTCCTTTTCTTAATTCTAATTTTCTTTTTCTCTTGTTAATTTTTAAATTTTATCTCATTGATTTTGAATTTCCCTGGTGATAGCCATCAAATCATTCTGCCTCTTCCTTTTTTGGTATGACCTTCAAAGCAAGAGAGATGGGGAACATTTGTTTCCTTTTTAAATTCCCACTGATACAAAATGTTCTTTGTCCACCCATTTTTCTTGCTCTGCAGCTCTGGATAAGTGAATGTTTGAAGAATATTCTAGTATTACTTAATTTTGATGGATTGGTACTTGGACACTCAGTGTGTGGGACAGGAATGCCAACATCCCTATTAAGCTCTTAAAGAAAGCAGTTCCCAAATTTGGGGTAGCAATGCTTTTGGGGTTGTCCCAGTAAAAATTGGGGTTGCCAAGACAATCACAAATTTTCTCCATGAAAGAAGAAAAAAGCGGGAAATGGCTGGTTTCCCTTGCAGGCTGGCAGAGTTCCAGCCTGCAAGGGCTGCTTGAGCCTGGGGGGGAGCGGGAGGAGGGCGATCAAGCGGAGGGCACCACATACATGTGTACAGACATGCATATGGCAGCTAGGAAGCATGGAGAGCAGCCCCCACAACTCCCCCCAGGTAAGTCTGTGGGAGTGGGGGGAGGGCAGATTGAGGCCCCGATGGTGAGGTTTGTCCAGGGGGTGGCAAGGGGGCTGGCTTCCTGCCATTGTGTGCACTCCCAGTGGGGAACCTTGGGGGGGCATGTGATCCCCAGATTTGTGTGCGGGGTGGGGGTAGATGCCAGCTGCCTGCCATGGGCTCTGGGCCCTTCCCTAGAGGCCTCCACATGGAGGCTTGGTGTCACTGCTGGGAACCCTGCATCAGCCACACAACCATGGCAAGGTGCCCCCTGCCTGCCTGGCAGTAGTAGGGAGCACAACTTCATGCCACTGCTGCTGGGCAGGCAGGGGGTGCCTAGCCATGATGGCACAGTTGACATGGGGTGCCCAATAGGGGCACTGAGCCTCCTCACCCTCCTGCACCGGGTCTTGCCTGCTGGGCTGTGGAGGCCCCCAGGGGGAGGGAAGCAGGGCAGGGAGCCCCACACAGGCTCTGTTTTGGCCATGACGTCCACAGGGAATGAGGGGTTGCCAGGTTCTCTGATCTGGCCACAGCAGCTGCCACTTCCTGTGGGCAGCAGCTGGGACTCAGGCACTGTGGTGGGGGGTGTGGGCAGGGGGATGTTGGTCCTGCCCCTGGTTCTGTAGCCCTGGGAGTGAGGGATACCTGGGAGGGGGTGGGTGGCTGCACATTGGGAATGAGGGGCACCACAGTGGGAAGAGACACCATGGGGGTAGAGTGCTGCAGGTTGGAAGTGAGGGGTCATAAATGGGATCATGTTGAGGAAAAGGTTGAGAAACACTGCCTTGGGATATATTTTCACAGCAGTCGGGTAGTTTTGAACTAGGTTGTTTGGGTACTGAGAAGAATGTAATCATGCAGTTTACATTCAGTATAGTGTGGGCTGCAAAACCTGTCTTAAGAATCTGAGTAACGACCTGGCATCTAGCCAATGCTGAGCTCTGTACTGCTGTGACTGTACTCTCTGGTACCCTTGTTGATGGGGTAGACATACCCTTAGAAACACCAGTTTATCCCTAGGGACTCCTATCTAACATGTCAAATCTATGGAATTCTATATTTTCTTTGCTTAATCCCTAGGCTTTCCCTTCCTTGCTGAGCCAAGCCTTGTACACCTGCTTCTGCTCCAGCTTCCCAGGGTCTTGGTTCAATACGGATGAGTTCAAGTCCCAGCTCTGTAATGTGCTGTCGGAGTGGATGGCAGGTAAGACAGTCTGCTTCCTGCCCAAAAGAGCAATCACTGCTGCCTAAGTGCAGACCAGTTTCTCTGTCTTCTTTCCCTGACTTCTTTAAAAATGTATCTAACCCTCTCAACTCTGTAATTCCATGAGACAAGAAAGGAATTGCTAGGCCCCGGGATGTTTCCAATTGCCTGCCCCTGAGAATTTTCTAAATGACCTTTTTTCCATCATCTTGCTCACTTTAGAGGCCCTCATGAATCAAGTAATTTCTTGACTGGAATGTGTTCTTGCTGGAGTTCATCCACGAGGCCCTCTTTGATAAGAGGCGATAGAAATCCAGGGGATGTTTTCAGCCTGTGAAGCAGTGCATACTTCCTGTAAACTGGGTCCTCAGTCAGCTCTTACTATCCCCTTCATTCTCATTTTACCCCATTTTCACCCTTCCTTGGTTCTGCTACATGCCTGATTCTTACTTTTACTATCTCTCCTTGTTTCTATTTATTTGATCCTTTCTTATGCTCTCTTCTTAAGAGACAAAACAAACACTAAAGCGTTGGTTATGCTCTGAACAGAGGGTTGGAAGCAAACAACTCCTGAACTGTGAGTCTGTCCTCACCCTAGTTTCCCATGGTATCTGGGACAAGTGCTATCTATCTAGTGTAGAGGATGCAGTCCTTCCTGTACTCTTCTAGGCTGTTGCAAGGATTCATGTTTATGGCGCACACAGAATATGAAAGATGGCACATACGTTACATGTTTAGGGCTGCTATTATTATTATTGTATTATTATTATTATTGTTGTTATTTCTTTTCCATTTCTCTCCCCTTCCATTTCTTTCTCCTTCATTTCCTCTCTTCTTCATATACCCCTCTCCCCACCTTCTCCCATTTAGGAACATTGCCTGTCCCAGGGACCTACACAAGCTGGGACTACTCCCAGCTGGAACCAGAAAGATTCAGGAGAGAAGATCTGCTGTCAACAAAAAGGAAACAGAGTGGTAAGAGTCCTGATACAAAAGGCTTCTGTCAGGTCTCTGTTGAGCTCAACAAAGGTTTGGTGCCCCAAACCAGGCAGCTTCTGTTCTATAGGAAATGCCTTGCATTTATTCATAGATTCATAGATGCTAGGGTCAGAAGGGACCTCAGTAGGTTGGAAGAGACCTCAGTAGGTCATCGAGTCTGATCCCCTGCCTTGGGCAGGAAAGAGCGCTGGGGTGAGGACCAATAACAGCTCCGCTGTTTAGCTAAGAAAAGGCACAGCATGAACCACAGCCTTAGCTCTCTGTCAGCATTTTATCAGGCTGTCATGCCTGTGAGCTGCTGCTTGCCAGAGGGAGAACTGATAAATACGGAAGAGATTTTACGACGTGGTGTCTATAATAGTAGGAGACTGGACTTGACAACCCAGGAGATCCCTTTCAGTCTAGTGCTCCTTAATTACTACCAGGGCATCTGGGCTAAATCACTTTTGAATAATCAGAGATGAGATGACCTGAGCTAGGTTGGGGTTAATGCTGTTCCCTGGCACGCAAAAGACTTGCCTGTCCTAGTCTCTTGTGCTATATATAGACAGAATGGGAGGGTTGCAGTGGCCATGTCTGGTGGTGGTTTAGTTTTTTGTTTTTCTTTTGGAGGAGTAATATCAGAGACCAGTTCATATTACTGATCAGTACCCACTCTAGTCAAGTCAAGAAATCTAGTCAAGTAGTCCTGGCTTAAAAGTGGCTATGACTATTTGAAAGGGCAGTTTCCTTCTGTGATCAAGACATAAGTAGGTCTGCAAGAGGGCTGTATTTAGTAGGGAGGGAGAAAATCTGTATCATCCTGTAAGGACCTACAAACATAGTAAATGTAGGGCCTAGTACCAAAATCTTATATGGCTGAAGCACTGAATCCTCGGTTACGCAGAGCCTTATTGGGGAAAGTGTGGGGATTTTCTGTACTTAGATTGGTTACAGGTTCAAGACTGAAAAACATTATTTCTTTTTTTTTCCTACAGTCACCTCCTTCCCCTTTGCTTCTTTCAAGACTCCCAGCAGTCTAGCGAAGACACATCAGCCTTCCATTCAGCCATGGAAGGTAAAGAGCACCTTGTTCACAAAGGCATGCAACAAAGAAAGAGGGGATGCTGTAGAACCTGAAACATGCGAGACCTGAGAGGATCCATTTTGCATCCCTCTATCCTTCTGTATCTTCTGTTCCTGCAGAGGTTCTCTAAGTTCTCTTGTCTCCTTGTCTATTAAATGATTAACAGCTGTCATTGTAATTGTGCAGCTGTGGTGGTAGCTGTTACTTTTTATCCCCCTCCCCCACACCCCTAAGTCGCATCTAGGGCTGCTGCTTTGGTTTCCCCACCTTAGTTATGCTACTGCCAGCTAGTATCTTCTGCTGAGATCAGCAGCAACTGGTAGGGGATCAGCTCTTTTGAAAATATGGCCACTTGTTTATGAGTACCTGGTTAAGTTCCCATTTCTTGCTCCCAGTGATCAAATAATAGACTAATGTCAAAGCAGTGTTATCTGTACTGACATACAAGGTGATGGGTATCTGAGAAATTTTACCTTAAATAAAACTATTTTAGCTGTTTTGATAATGCATCTCTTTGGTAGACTAAAACTGAGGAGCTTTGCAGAGGAGCAGTGAAGAGAGCAGTCATTTGGCTCACACAGAGCAGGAAAGGAGTTGTAGGTATGAAAAGTAGTGTAAAGGAAGTTGGTAGATGAGAAGGATACAAAATCTGGCATCTAGAAGATGGGCATGGAAAAAGCTCAGGCAGGTGGGGACAGACAATTGTAAGCCAGGTTGTAGGGATGGCTTGACTGGGGCCAAACCTTGAATGGAATGAGGGGGAAGAGTGAACTTCAGAGATAAAGCAGAGGAAGGATTCCAGCTGGACTGATAGGATCAGAATAGCATATTTGCTCAAGTATGGGAGGGGGATTGCATTTATGAACAATAGGTTTGTAGCTATTAATCCATATTGCACTAGAACAGGGGCAGGCAATTACTTTGGGTGGAGGGCTGCTTACCAAGTTTTAGCAAGCTGTCAAGAGCCCCATGGGTAGCCGGACCCCTTCACAGGTGCCCCACCCCCTGGTCACCATCTTAGGACCAGAAGTCCCACCCCTAACCCCTGCCCTTTGCTACCAGAAGTCCCTCCTCTTGCCCCTGGAAATACTCCTTTCAGTAAAGGGTTGTGCCATCTCAAAACCAGAAAAATACCAAATTTTATTTAAAAAAGTGAACATTTACAACATTCATTAATTTGATTTCAAAAAATATTTTTGTCCTGATTTACATGCTGTACACGTAGTGTACACAGAGGTGATTGGACAACAGCTTAAAATGAAGACTTACTTTTGTATACTGTGGGGGGTGGGTATAGATTTGTGGGGGCTGTGGGTGTGTGGGGATGTGGAGGAGGGTGGATAGATGTGGGGGGTGGGTGAGGGGTGAAGGAGCATGTAGGTGTGTGTGGATATATGGGGTGTGGATGGGTATGGGGTTTGTGTGGGATATGTGTGGGGGAGGGTTGCTGGGGTGTGTGGCAGGTGCGGGTCTGTGTGTATGGAAGTGCAAGGAAGATACAGGTGCTTGTATATGATGGGGTGTGCTCTGGGACTCGCCCTACGAACACACATACACACACACTCTTCCTCTCCCTCCCTCTCATTGAACACATGCACTCTGTGCCTCCCTCACTACACACACACACACACACACACACACACACACACACA